CCTCCTCAGCTAAATTGCCGGAAACACCTCCCAGACACACTCAGGGTTAGTTTCCACAGTGATTCTAAACCATTTGAAAATACAGATTAACTACCACACAGATAAAGCTATTTGCTGAATGTTCTACAGATATTGGCATTTCAAAACCCTGTTGGATCCCTGAGTGCCCAGCCAGATTTAAGACACAAGTGAAAAATGCTAATATTCTACTATTTGCTTCTTCATAGTAAGTAACTAACATGAATAGCAATTTAGTAATTGTATTTTATTTTTGTCTCCATATCATAATAAATAATTCTGCCACAGCCAAAATGTATTTTTCAAGAAACTTTCAAAGAAGCAAAATAAAATCTCATTCAAATTTTAGCAATTAACCCGTCTTACAAGGATCAAGTTGGTGGCTGAAGTACATAACCCCACACGGTGAATAGGTAGCTACTAATGTACATAACAGGGGACTCTCAAATATCTGTTAAGCCTAACTAAGGCTTGTTTCTCCAACTTACCCAACACATTTTTATACTTCAATGAAAAATATTTGACAGTTAGACAAGCAGTGAACAGAACATAAAGTAGCTGCACCAGGAACTCCCATGAGTTTCCTTTCATCGTGCCGCCTGCCTCTTATTCTCGTGTGTCATTTGGACCAAGTGCTTTTTTACCTGAACAACGTCAACAAACAGAACATAAAGTAGCTGCACCAGGAACTCCCATGAGTTTCCTTTCATTGTGCCACCTGCCTCTTATTCTCGTGTGTCATTTGGACCAAGTGCTTTTTTTACCTGAACAACGTCAACGCTAGCTCCATGTCGGTCCCATCTCAGTACTTTCTCACCAAAAAATTCTCAAAAAATTTAAACATGTTTTTAATTTACAATTTAATTCAATAAATATTTAAGAATGTGTTACTGTTGGCAATGGCACGTGGCATAAATTTAACATGTGTACTGCCTCCTCCTTCCCAAAACTAATATGTCATTTCACTGGCCAAGGACATGAAAATTCTTTTCAATTTTCTGAGAATAATGACCACTTCAATGGCCAGGGGTCATAGGTTGAGGATTGACAATAGCATTTTTGATGGGTGAAAAGTATGACATTTTAGCAAGTCAAACTGATTAAACAAAGCCATGGTCTTCTGTCTCTTATAAAGATAGAAACGACACCCTGCCCACAGATACTACTGTGAGGGTCTCAGCTCAGTGTCTCAAACAAGCACTGGCCAGGGCAACATCGAGCTTCCCTGTCGTTTCTCTCTCGATTTATTGAAAGCAGTGGTGCCCAGTCCCCACTGAAGGACCCGGTGAAAAGTTAAACAGAGCAGCAGACAGAGAGTAGCAGTGTGCAGACTGCTGTGATCCCATGAGCAGGCCAGGTTGTAGATTCTCTCGGCTAGAGAGCAATCACTCAGTTTGTGAAGGGTTTTATCCCCACGTTCCCCACGCGTTCTCATGCACTTACATGCACGGCCATTGCATCTTATAGAAAAAACAGGTGGTTAGGTGTAGATGAACTGAATTCAGGCTGGGGGACGTGGCTCAGTGATATATATGCTTATATGCTTAGCAAGTACAAGGCCCTAGGTTAGATCCTTAGTTGTGGGATATTTTGATCGAACTTCTGATGCTCCTGAGACTGACAATAAAGTTTACCTTGAGTCAGAGGGTGGATTTATCTACTAACTGATCAAAATTAGCCCATAGAGGTTTGAGAAGATCCAGGACATATAGAGAGACACAGGAAATAGTAGGGAAGGGCTTAGAGAAAGGCTTGGTCCTTTTTGATCAAGAAAGAGGAGGTCACTGGTCACTTCTGCGTTGCTTCTCTGATCAATCAGGTTTTTTGCTTCAACATCTGACTCCTGGGTTTTTACTGATAAAAGAATAATTTAATAAATGCTTCATCTGGCACTCTTTTATCTTGACTCCTTAAAACTTTTCTGAAGGTATTCATGATTAATGGTCATATAGAATACTAATTCTAGAAATAGGCTTCATTTAGCTTCCTGTACATGATTTCCAGCTTGAGTCTGAAGCAGGTAATTAGGAATTAACCTGTGTACCCCAGGTGGATTTAATAGATTGTGGTCCTTTAACCTCCCTGAGATCTGCTACATATGACATTTAAAATGTTTGTTTTCTATAGTGACCTGTGTTCATTCCTGACACAGTGACCTTTGAGGTCTCTAAGAAGATGATGGGGCCTACAACAATGAATCCACTTGGATTGTGGTAATGCCACTAAGCTGACAAAGCAAAGATCTGCTTTGGACTACAAACTGCTCAGGACAATTTCAAGGTGATTAGCCAAGATGGTCCATGCTCATAGACTACTAGGTCAGGACTTCAGATAAGCCTTGCATTTCCCCATCACATTGCGACTGGGCAACAGCTAGTTCTCCCAGGACTTAATCATTACCTCAGTTTTCTCAGTGTCCCCTACAGATGCCTTCACTCCCAGACAACAGGAAGTAATTTTAAGAATACAACTCCCCCATTCCCGAGAGGTGGGATGGGTGATTTTTGGTCATTCGATGGATTATGGATGCTTACCATTGTTTAAGGGGATTGGTTACAAATTGTTGTTGGTCATGGACAGGGTTAAAGCTGATAAAAAAGAGATTAGATTCAGGGATCTCATTCAGAAAAGAAAAAAAGGGGATATAGAAATATTAGGATAAAAGAATAGATGATAGAATCTATGTAGGGAGTAACCCTGGTCATAGGTACTGCTGACCACGCCCAAGCCTTTCAAACTAAAAGAGCAACTACGTGTCTTAAATATTTTATGTTGGTATAGATTTTATATATTGATACGAATTTAAGGTTATTTTTGTTATACTGTATATATGTTTCTACTCTTGTTTAAGGTATTGTACCTATGCAGCACATTTAACAATGTAATATATATTTCTAGTTCTTGAAAGCTAATATTATAAACTATTTAAGATAATTAAGAAATGCATGTTAGGGGCTGGAGAGATGGCTCAGCGGTTAAGACCACTAGCTGCTCTTCCAAAGGTCCTAAGTTCAATTCTCAGCAACCCTATGGTGGCTTATAACAATCAATAGTGGGATCTGATGCGCTCTTCTGGCCCAAAGTCGATAGAGCACTGATATAAATAAAATAAATGAATCTTAAAAAAAAAATGCCGGGCGTTGGTGGCCCACGCCTTTAATCCCAGCACTCGGGAGGTAGAAGCAGGCGGATCTCTGTGAGTTCAAGGCCAGCCTGGTCTCTAGAGTAAGTGCCAGGATAGGCTCCAAAGCTACACAGAGAAACCCTGTCTCAAAACACCAAAAAACAAACAAACAAACAAAAAAAACACAAAACAAAACAAAACAAAAAAAGAGACAAACAACCAGATAGGCTCCAAAGCTACACAGAGAAACCCTGTCTCAAAACACCAAAAACCAAACAAACAAAACACAAAAAAAAAAAACAAAAAAAGAGACAAACAACCAAAAAAAAATGCATGTTAGTAGTTAGTCATCTAACAATCAAATTTATGGCACGTTATGTATATTTTCAAGGTCAGACAGATATATTTCAGATAGATAAATGGTCTTCAAACACTTCAGAGAGCTACAGAATATGGAATTTAAGATGTTTGAATAACATAAGGCTTTTCCTGACAGTGAGACACATCTGTTCCTGGCAGCACCAATCTACTTCAGAAAAGATGATGGACATTGAAGATCCTCCATATGGAGTTTGCTTTCATTGTGGCAAAGCTAACCATTTGAACAAGAAACTTTCCTTTCCTTGACTGTTGACAGTATGCTGCCCAAATTGGACAAGCAGGACACAAAAGAAGGAAATGGTCACTTTACAAAGATAAAGTAGGGCAGTTCTTCAAAATTCCTGCTTTACAAAAAGTCTGTCAGATATTCTACGCCTGCAGGCCAAAGGTGGATACCCCAATATTATAGAGGAATCTTGGGTAACTGTTCACACAGCCAGTTGTTTCTGTCATTTCTATAGTTTTGGAAGTTGTTTGCTCTGCATTTTCTGTTTACTCAGGTAATATTATATCCTTCTCAGGTCTCTGATGGGGGTTGAAGACTAGATAGTTATACCATTTTCTTTGTTACCAAATTCATTAAAGAAATGTACAAAAGAGATGTGGTGTTTATAAGGTTAAGAGGCAAAAAAAACTTAAGTTGTTTATCTAAGACGATATTTTAAGGCCTAAAAATATATTTTTAGGATGGTAATACAAGTTATGGTGGAAAGTGGTTTAGGTAGAAAACTTTAGACTAACTAAGATAGGGGAGATAATTTGCCTTATTTGCCGAATACATATGGATGGGACATTGTGAATGTAATTCTTACCTGATAATTGTCATTATCGTATATAGTTTTAGTATCTTAAAGTTAAAGCCTTTCCTTTTTATTTAAACAATACTTGATAATTGTTCTTATTATATATAGTTTAACTGGGTTAGAGCTAAATCCTTCCCTTTTTACTTAGAAAAAAAAGGGGGGGAAATGTTGTGGAATGTTTGTGTACACTGTAAAGATGTGTCTGCCAATGGCACCTTCTAATTAGTATAATAACTGAATGGCCAATATCTAGGCAGGAGATGATAGGCAGGATTTCTGGGGAGAGAGAGGAAGAGAAAGGAAAGAGGAATCTAGGCATGGGGAATTACACCAGCCAGGCTCCAGTGAGACTCTCAAGTAGTCAGACATATGGTACAGAACAGAGGCACATTGCAGAATGTAGGTTAATAGAACCAGGTTAATTTGAGTTATAAGAACTTGCTGGGGACAAGCCTAAGCTAAAGACCAAACTTTCATAATTAATAATAGGTTCCTATGCTGTTATTTGCTAGTTAGAAGCCCCAATGAGCAAGTATTGCTACAATCCTCAGTTTTACACACACACACACACACCTAAAAGCATGCATAACAAGGTACCTACAACACACACACACACACACACACACACACACACACACACACACCCCTAAAAGCATGCATAACAAGATACCTACACATAAGATGCCCAGAAGCTTGTGAGCTTACCAAGAATAATTCTTCTTGGTGGAAGATCCCGATTTCTAGAAGGTGTCGCAGCTAAGTGGGACCAGCTGTCCAGGAAATCTGGTGGCAGTGTGGCTAGTCTGTTGCTTGATAAATCCAAGTAGGTAAGGTTCTTTAGATATCTGACAACCTCATTTGGCACATGGGTTATCCTGTTATTGTGCAGGTCCAGTGTCCTCAGGTGGGGCATGTCCAGCAGAGATGCCCAGGGGAAAGCAGTCAGAGAATTGCCATCCAAACGCAGCTCATGCAGCTGCTTTAGGTTATAAAAGCTGCCGGGTTCTATGCTGGCCACTGAATTGTAAGTCAACCAGAGGTACTGCAATTCCACCAGGTAGTAGAAGGCCTCTGTGGGGATCCTTCGGACCACAGTCTTCTCTATTCGAAGCTTCACAGTGTCCACGGGGAAGTTTGTGGGGACTTCATTCATATCCAGGTCGTTACACAACACCGACCTAGTGTCACAAGAGTAATGCAAGAAGATCTACTCCCAAGACTCACTTTAAAATAACGCCTTATCTGAAACATGTATTAGTTTTCCATTCCCTACTAGCTGTTTACAAAACATTTGTTTAGTCTGGAGAACTATTTATCAATAATGCCATGTCATCATCATCACCAACATCATCTCCATCCTCACCATTATCATAATATGGTAACCATTAAATTGAACCATACAAAATGGACATTTTTCACAATAAAGTTGATCAAATATGAGTAATTTCATGGTGTTCAATGGATATTTATGAAGGTCTTTCATTCTAGGCCTTTGAAACACAGACCACACCCATTTCTTTATTAACCATCATGCATGTACAAAGAGGCAGACACTGGGAGACAGAATAAAGCTGGGCTCAGTCATAAAGTGTTTGCCTAGCATGCACCGGTCCCTGAGTTAGAGCCCCAGCACACAATAAACCAGGCATGGCACACACCTATAGTTACAGCAGTCAGAGGTAGGAGGATCAGGCATTCAAGGTATCCTGAGGTATAGAGACTTCCAAGCTAGCCAGGGATATATGTCTTTTAAAACATATCATAATTGATCCTTTTATGAGAACCATTTATGGGGGGGGGGTAGAATCAAATGTCTGTGCATCACTTTCTGCCTAAGGAATGGACAAGAAACAAAATGTGTTCCTGTTGGCAGTGACTAACTGAAGAGTCCTCAAACAAACCATGCTGTGAACTTGTTTGTTAGCATGAATAAAATAGGGTTAAAAAAAAATACTGTCCCAAGTGTGGGTTTAAATGGGAAGAATCTCAAATCTTAGATTTGGTCCAGTCTGAAGAACTACTTACCCTCCACACCCATCTGAATTGCTCAAAGTGAATAAGCACTTTTGAAAAGAAAATGGCGTTCAAAATTGGGATACACGGCATTAAAATGACCATCAGGGAAACATCTCAGCAAGCCTGTGAATTAAAAAAACTAGCTCATAATGGGAACAGGGGAAAGCAGTGTAGAGCCTCGAGGCCTTGGCAGCGGCTCCTCCTTTTGGTTACTTTAGAAGACCACAGGGAACCATGAATGGTATCCGGGGTACTTTTTAGGTTCACCTCTATTTCACAAATTTTGGAGTTGCTTTGCACAAGATCATAGCAGTTTCCAGTCTTTATCATAGGAAGACGATGGTCGTCTTTTACTTCTCAGGGAATGTCTCAAAGGGTATCAAGGGTAGGCTAAATAAAACTATTCACAAATAAACTTTATGGTACCAACATTATCATCATCACCATCATCATCACGGTCACCATCATCATCATAAGCATTGCTGTGCTGGATATCAGACTCTCGTCCTTAGACATGCCAGGCAAGAGCTGTACCCCTGAGCTATAATTATTATTCGATTAAAGTTGTTTTTATTCTTCTGTTAAACTTTGTTTCAGAAACTCATTGTTTATTTCAACTATCAAACTATCAAAGTCCCAAGAATCCTTTTTTTTTTTTTTTTTTTTTTTTT